GAAAAGTAGATTCAGAGGAGATGCCCTACACAAGAGCAAGGCAAACTATGAATTATTTTTATCCTAGCACACCCTTGAAGTAATTAACTCATAACAAAGAGGAACTTACTGTGGCTTTCGTCACCTTTATGAAGTATGGGAAGTTCCTGTAAATTGGAAGAAGGGAAGAATAAAATGATACAAGAGGGAGGGGATATAAAACAGCTGGGAGATCGATATAGCCCAAAGGAAATAAGAAAGGCCTGAAATCAATGACACTGAAAATGGAAAGACAACAGGAGACAAAAATGTCATTCTTAAAATCAACAAAATTGATGAAGCTCTAGGGGAGAAGGGGGAGACAAGATGATGTCCAGGTAGAATCACCCACCAGGCACTCCTGCTGTTAAACCAGGAAATTAAGAGCTAGGTAGGGGAAGCCAGCTCCAGGAGAAGCAACAGGACAGACCAATGGTTTTGGAGGGACTTGGGGGGAGGAGGAGGCGGGGAAGGAATCAGTGAGCAAACCATGCCATAGACAGGGGAACAACTAGGGAATTAAAATCAACAAGGTGGAGGATGCCAATATCCTGGGGGTGTTGGAGCAACAGCAATCCAGCTGAGAGGAATTACTAAGAGGCAGAAGAAAGGCAAGCGTGATGGTGGGACAGGAAGAAGGTAAAAGGAAACAGGAAAAATCTACCAAGCAAAGCTATGGATAGAGGTATAAACATAGGCATGTATATATGTAAATACATTAATTCATAAAAACAGAGGTATTGGTGTATGTACGTATATTTATATGACAATACATTGAGGTAGTGGATGGACTTTGGACCTCTGCTCAAGCCCTGCCTCAGCACAAGAACACTTTGTTCTAACAACTTGGCATTCTCTGATGCTCACCTCCCGGCATGATTGCTAAAAGCAAAGGGGGTGCACAAGCAAGTGTGGTGAAGATAGCTGATGGTGCCTGGCTATCCAAAGATAAAGCATCTGAGGTCTTAAAGGCTATCCAAAGATATAGCATCTGAGGTCTTAAAGGCTTGAAGTTAAACAAGCAGCCATCTAGCAGAGAAGCAACAAGCCCACATGGAAGAAGCACACCAGCCTGTGTGATCATGAGGTATCAATGGGATCAGGTAACAGGCATCAGAAGACCCAAAATAACAAACAAAAACCATATTGTTGAGAAGGAGGGGGGTGGGGTGGAGCAGAGACCCAAAACCATATGTAGACAATGGAGCATCCCTTCACGGAAGGGTCACAAGGAATGGATGAGTCATCCAAGGTGCGGTATAGCACCGATGAAACACAATATTCCTCTGGTTCCTTGAGGCTTCCTCACCCCCCACTATCATGACCCCAATCCTGCCTTGCACTGCGATCTACGCCAGAGCTTGTATACCAGTACAGATAAAAGCTCATGACACACAGAATCCAGGTCAGATATGCCCCTCAGGAACAGAAATGGGAGTAGCAATACCAGGTGGGTAGAGGGAAGGTGGGGAGAAGAGAGGAGGAAAGGGGAACTGGCCGCAATGATCAACACAAAACCACTACCATCCCAAGGGGAATAAGCAACAGAAACCATGGGGGAAGGGAGACAGCGGTCAGTGTAAGATATGAAAATAATAATAATTTATCATTTATCAAGGGGTCAAAAGGGTGGGAGGGGGTGGGAGGGAAAGAGAGGAGCTGATGCCAAAGACTCAATAAAAAGTAAATGTTTAGAAAATAATGGTGACAACATATGTACAAATATGCTTGATACAATTGATGTTTGGATAGTTATAAGAGCTGTAAGAGCCCCCAATAAAATGATCTTTTTAAGAAAAATGCTCTATCAAGAGTGACAAAGATTAAAAAGACAGAAGGCACAAATTGCCAATACTAGAAATAAAATGGGGTGTCACACAAAATCCTGCAGTCAGGAACAGAATAATAAAGAAATACTGTGAGCATTACTGTCATAAATGGACCAATTCCTCAAAAACATCAATCCACTGAAACTCAGCCAAGATGCAATAGATCATCTGCATAGTCCTGTGAGTATTAAACTATTAACAGATTGAATTGATACTTTTAAAAGCTTCCAAAGGGGAACTATCCAGTCGCAGATGGTTGCACTGGAAAATTTGATCAAACATTCCAAAAAGAATGTATACCAACTCTATACACTTTCTAGCAGAAAAAAACAGAAGAATGTGGAATACTTGCCAACTCTTTTTATGACACCACTAAAATCTTAAAAGCAAAGCCAGGCAACACACACACACACACACACACACACACACACACACACACACGGACCCACCATAGATCAATACCTTTCACACATGAACTGAGACCAAAAAAATCCTCAACAAAATTTTAGAAAATGGAATCCTCCCCTATGGACACAGTATGGTTCAGAAACAGGTTGTTAGGCAAACTCAGTATTATGTGAGCGTCAGGGGCCATCGCACATCCTTGACATCCCTGGTGTCCCCGCTCCTCACCCGCTCCATCACTCACTGCCTGTTAGGTGTCCCAGTACATCTCCTGTCCCTACCACATCTCCCCCAACACTTCAAAGCCTCCCAGGCCCTTTCCTCTCCCATCTTCCTACTCCTCTCTCTACCTCTCTAGCATCTTCAAGCCCTCATTCAGCCTCTCTCTCTGCTGGCCCATGACCTCAATTGCCCCACTGTCACCATGTGCCCTCGGTGGCCAGATGGAGACATTGCAGATGCAACAGGAGAAGGCATCCCACACCCTATTCTTCAAGCAGCATGGTCATCAACAGGACCTCATGTATATCTTCCCGGGTAGCCTGTAAAGGGTGACCTGAGCCTGGCCATGGCTCTATGTGGGACCCAAGTCATCAGAGGTGCCACTTGAAACTTTTTTCAAAGTTCCTGTAAATACAAAATATCAGATAACAAAATTGTTGCTAAGTGAGGATTAGGGTCTACCACAACCAAGTGATATTTCTTCTGGTATGCAAAACTGGTTCAATATCCACATATTAATCAGTGCCATTAATCATATCATAGGATAAAGAAGAAAAAACTATGTTCATAGTAATTGATGCAGAAAAGCATTCAATAAGAGTCTACACCTCTGCCTGATAAAAACTCTGTGTACCAGCCATAGAGACAAACTTCTTTGATCTCATAGACAGCCTCCACAAAAATCCTATAGCTGAATCACACTGGATTGCTTAATGGCAACTGGTTGAGATGTTAGCTTAACATCATACTTAACAATAAAAGGATGTATGTGTTCCTTGTAAGGTTAAGAACAAGGCAAGGATGCCCGTTCTCAACAATCTTATTTCATAAACTAATGGACATTGTGTGGTGGGTAATCTTTATGCCAACTTAATGGTACCTAAGTAGAGGTAGGGGTAGAGCCCAACCTGTCAATCAGGTGGTAGCCTGATGATGCCTCCTTGGGGGTGTGGCCTTCTTCTAAGTGAGACACTGCCAACTTCTCCCTCTTTTGCCAATCACCTTCCCTGCTTGCTGGGATTTTGTGTCTGCCTCCAGACATGGCCCCATCTGGATTGTCAGCACCCCACCACATTCCCAGGGACCTTGGATCCATGTGACTCTGCACCCATTGGCCTGTGATCACCCTGCTTCTCACTTCTGTTACATCCACCTGCAACTACATGAGTGTGAAGGGCTTCAGCGAGCATCAGACCCACAGACTGGAGTTGGACTGGGCTGTGACACCTGCTTACTCTAAAAGTGTTTCCTATGAATATGTGTGTCACTGGTTTTGTTTCTCAGACAACCCAGCCTAACCCACATCACAACCATTATAGTTCAGCAAGAAAAAAAAAAAAGGAATACAGATTGGAAAGGTAGTGTCTGATGACATCTCTATGCAGAAAATGGCCCACACGCAACAAAAATATCCCAAGAATAAGTGAGCCCAGTATGTTTGTAGGAGCAGCCTGGGCTCTGCTCTGCCTTTACACATCCTTTAGTGCAGTGGTTCTCAACCTTCCTCATGCTGCGACCCTTTCATACAGTTCCTCATGTTGTGGTGACCCCACAACCATAACGTTATTTTTGTTATACTTCATCACTGTAATTTGGCTACTGGTATGAATCTGGCGACCCTGTGAAAGGGTCGTTTGACCCCCAAAGGGGTCATGACCCACAGGTTGAGAACCGCTGTTTAGGGTCTATTGCTGCACAGAATGAAATGATCAATGACCTCAGCAATGTCTTACAACAGACATGGATCAATTTTCCAAGCACTTTCTGGCCAGCTGGATGATGGTCCAAGAACCTGTACAAAGTGCTGTGCTTTTTGTAGAGCTGCACGAAAGCCTCAAAAACTCTGTCTCCCATTGGGATGGTCACTCTGGACTGCCCATGCCTCTCTGCTCCCTCTATTGTGACCTACTTCCTTAGAATGGAATTTCCATTCCTTCTATGCAGGTGCTTTGTTAAGTGTTCTTACCTCCAGCTGAACAGGAAGTGCTCACCTCACCCCACAGGAAGTTCATGCACAGTGTGTCCTGCCTCATCAGAATTTGAGCTCCTTCTGGATCTGAGCCAAAGACTTGGCAAGAAAGGTGTTCTCCTTTATCCAATTTTGCCCTCTGATATAGCTCTCAAGGCCAGAGTGCCGGTCCTCACCAAATACCACCTTTCACTGTCAACCTAAGTGTTCTAAATAGTAGTTCTTGGGGATTTGCTTCCATAATCTACAAGGGAAAGGAAAACGAGGCTACTTCTCTGGACTTCTCTTGTGTTACAGAGGCCCTCTCATGTGCCACATACCTTGTGGCAACCGATACATAGAGATGTTGAGTACAGAGCTGCCCATACAACATATATTGCCCGAGTGGTGAGATCCGGGCTCAAAACCCTGAGCAAATGACTCTGCCGCTTCGTGGGCTCTTCTTCAAGCAGCTCTTTCCAAAGGACATTGCTCGCCAATCGAAACATGAACTCTCCTCCCGGGGAGATCTGTAACGTACACGTATTTGAAGGAAAGTAATGAGCCCGCCAACTTACGTGGAACTGGTCTGAGGCTGTTCAAAGGCTTCTTTGGGGATCTTAAGGCCAGGGTTTCGCTTTTTGCCTACGGGGGGAAAAAATACAAAGGGAAGGTTACGATCTCAATCATAGCAGAGGAGTGGGGCAGAGAGACCAGGGTGGAGGGAAAGGGCTGGTTTGGGCATGTAGCTCTTGTCTCCCTGTTCAGTCCTCCATGTGCTGCCCAGGAAGTCAGAGCAGAGCTTCCCATACGCAGGATGGGGGGCTGGGCTGTTACCAGTCCAGTGTCCATGCACGAGCTCTCCATTCCTGTGAAGATCAGCCTGCCCTTTTCCCTCTCCTAGCGTCTACTCCTTCATTGCCACAGAATGGTGGTGACGGTGGATGGTAGGTGATGGTTGTTTACTTACTTACTTAGTGTCCCTGTCAGTAAAATGTGTCTTGTTAGTTGTCATGGATTCCCTCGCTCAACTTCACTCACTCAACTTTAAGTACAGCAGAACAATGCTCCAGCTATCCCCATGCTTGGTGCGTTGGGTTTCATGTCAACTTGGGTGGGCCAGGGTTCTCCCAGGATATGATCTCACACAGCCCGGTCAGCTCTGTGATGGGACCTTCTGTGAAGCAGCCAAGCAGTTGGAGGGAGAACAGACCTCTTTAATCTCGTCACAGCCTTGATACGACTGGGGGAGGTTTCATCCGGGAGCGGTTTACTCTTAGTATTGATTGACTGCGTATGGAAGCTAGCTGACTTCAACCGGGGGATTCCGATCCTGCATCTGGTTCATCCGCGAGCTCCTGTTACGTTGCCTGCCTATTTCAGGAACCATCAACAGACGGCCAAGCTTCAATTTATGTGGCCGATCTTCATTCAGCTCTGCGTCCACTTGCATGTGGTTCTCCTACTTCATCGGCCTGCTTCCTATGCATCAGCCCCTGCAGCTATAAGACTGAGAAGAAGCCTTCAGCTCGCATCTGACCCATGGACTTGAACCAGGCTGGAGTCACCCCCTTCTACAATGGTGTGAGCCATTTCTTGATATAAATCTCTTTCTATAGACACACAAGCACCATTGGCTTTACATCTCTTGAGAATCCAGACTAACCCACGCGGTAAGATGTGTGAGTCCACTGTGAAGGCTATTCATGCAGCGTCATCCAGACAAGAGGGCTCACCCTCCAGCACTATATCAGACAATACAGTAGTCTGTGGTGAGCCCTAAGGCTTTCACAAGCGAATTTCTTAGAAGTAGATCCAAGGCTCTTTCTTCTAAGTAAATTGGTCTATGAATAAGAGAGTTAGCCATGGACCTAAAGTGAAAACGACTTTTCCATTGTCCTGACCTTCCTCCTGCGAATCTACCTGCTATTGGTTTAAAAACCCCAGAGAAAGATCACTCACTCACTCACCCAATACCACCTAGTCTATGCCGACTCGTAGCAACCCCCTGTGGGTTTCTGAGACTGTAAGTGATTACAGGAGTAGAAAGCCCAGAGCTGCCGGTGGTTTCAATCTGCTGATCATGCGGATCAAAGTCCAACACATAACCACCACAAGGATACCAATAATAAACAAATAAACACACACACACACACACACACACACCCCGCCCGTTGCAATTCTAACTCATAGCAACCCTGAGGGGCAGAGCAGAACTGCTTCCTTGTATTTACAAGGTGCTAAATCCTTTTTTTTTTAATCAATTTATTGGGGCTCATACAATTCATCACAATACATAGATCAATTGTGTAAAGCACATCTATACAT